GGACCCCAAGAAGTGACCCTGAAATGGTTCCATCTTACAAGGGTTTGGCGTGGAAGGTATTTTAACAAATTCTACAATTCCTACTATTTCGATGGTGAGATACCGGATTCGGTTTTTCCCCACCTGCCAGGTGAGGGTTGTTAGATTTTATCAGAGTTGTTCTCCTCCTCCGCCTCCTCCTCCTCCTTCTCCTCCTCCTCCGCTTCCTCCGCCAGTTTCTCCTCGACCATGTCTGCATCAACTCTTCGCCAAGCTCTTCGCCAACTTCCGAGCTCAGTGCGCACTGCTGGACCTCAACCTCGGACCTTCCCAGCTCAGTGCGCACTGCTGGACCTCAACCTGGGACCTTCCCAGCTCAGTGCGCACCGCTGGACCTCAACCTGGGACCTTCCCAGCTCAGTGCGCACCGCTGGACCTCAACGGCCAGATAGAATGCCAGATAGAATGCCAGAAGATATGCCAGATAGAATGTCAGATAGAATGTCAGAAGATATGCCAGAATGCCAGATAGAGTACCAGAAGATATGCCAGAAGATATGCCAGGTAGAATGCCAGAAGATATGCCAGATAGAATGCCAGAAGATATGCCAGATAGAGTGCCAGAAGATATGCCAGAACAAATGCCAGAAGATATGCCAGGTAGAATGCCAGAAGATATGCCAGATAGAATGCCAGAAGATATGCCAGATAAAATGCCAGAAGATATGCCAGAAGATATGCCAGATAGAATGCCAGAAGATATGCCAGATGGAATGCCAGAAGGTATGCCAGATAGAATGCCAGAAGGAATGCCAGATAAAGTGCCAGAATGTTTGCCAGATAGAATGCCAGAAGATTTGCCAGATAGAATGCCAGATAGGATGTCAGAAGATATGCCAGAAGATATGCCAGATAGAATGCCAGAAGATATGCCAGATGGAATGCCAGAAGGTATGCCAGATAGAATGCCAGAAGGAATGCCAGATAAAGTGCCAGAATGTTTTCCAGATAGAATGCCAGAAGATTTGCCAGATAGAATGCCAGATAGGATGTCAGAAGATATGCCAGAAGATATGCCAGATAGAATGCCAGGTAGAATGCCAGATAGAATGCCAGAAGATATGCCAGAAGATATGCCACATAGAATGCCAGATCGAATGCCAGAAGATACGTCAGATAGAATGCCAGAAGATTTGCCAGTAACAAATCGATAAATGTCATGGTGGGGATCACACGAAGTAAAGTAATTTGGGGACGCCACGGAATGTGACAGGAGGTGCCTTGGTCGTTTGGTCAATTTGACCATCTTTGACATTGTCCTTGGATAACCATCCGGGGAATCTCTGGATAAATGACATTAAAAATGAATAAACATGGTTTTTAATAACCTGATAACATTAATTGACATGATTTCCTGATATGATCAATAACCATCCTTAGATATTGATTAAGAACCGTGAAATGAACCATTCATCTTCAGGGGGTACTTCACATGTTATATTAGTGTCGTGCTGCTGTTGCATTCCTATGGGAAGATCATCGCAGTGTTCAGCCTGCCCCTCTGACGTCCCTGCCGATTACTGCCTTGTTAATAGGGATTCTCAAAACGGAATGGACGGAATATGATAATCCCCCATTTTTGAGGGTAGAACCCCAATGGCTCCATATATTCCCATATATCATAATATGTAAAAACAAAACAGACAGGGAAATTGAACATTGCTCATCTTTGGCATTCCGTTTCAAAGTTCAGAAGGGGCCTGGCGGCCTTCCCGGATGTCGTTCAAATTTTGCCGTGCCTCCAGGTCTTTAATATCATCCACCACAATCCTCTTGGCGGGACTTCCATGTTTCACCGCCTATGCCACCGGGCGAGAGGAACCAGGTAACCATGATTCCATGCTGATTGCTACGATATTACCATGTTATTCGATCCGTCTATTCATCAAATGATCAACAATATACATATTATGTTATATCTATATGTGCTAACCCCCTCAGACAATATAATTATATAACTAGAAAAACAAAACAAACCCTGAATAGTGGTACTAGTAAATTAAATGTGTCTATCTTTCCGGCAGTTACCTAATCCTATAAGTTCTACTTGGAAGGAATAGAAGGTATATGGGCCTACTCTCACCCAGTTCCAGGAACCTTGCCCCCGCACGCCTCAATGTCTGTCCCCTTGTAGATCTCGATACTGCCCTGTGGTGCCAAGGGGAACACGAAAAGATTTTGCCGCTCCGGCCATAAACAGATCAAATAATATGTGTATGTATATATATATATATTATTTCCAATAGATTCCCCATTTTGGGTGGATTCACAATGGGGAAAGCCAACGGAACTTGTGAATTTGTCCAAAATTCAGGGACTTGCCAAGCCCCAATGTATTGCTATGGGAAAATATATTGATGGAAAAGTGATTCAAGGATACTTGAAATATAAAATGATATTCTTCACCATGAGATTTACCATGAGATTTTGGTGTAGCCTATTTTTTCACAAATACGACTTGCTCACCTCCAAGGTTTGTCAGTCGCTATGTGGGAGAGATCGTTTTAGCTTAGACCTGCTCGGGCATTGCCTTGAAGAAACCCAGGAACTCATACAGTGCAGCATATGATCAGCATATGCAGCATCTACCCAAATCATCCAGGGATGGTATGTTTACCTCTGCACTTAGTCACATAACGGGCCCTACATGCAGTATGAAGCCCACCTCGCGGAGCGCGAACACGATGGGCTCGGCCTGAGATTTCACCCGCAAAGAACGAACGCAAACCAAACTCGCCATGGTTAACAAATTCCCGAAGGAGCGAAACCATCTACAAATCCAAATGGAAACATTTCATTGCATTTCCTTGCCACAGGTTTGTGTACCACACGCTAAGTTGGTTTGCAACTCCGTCGCAATCCCAACCACCCCGCCCCTGAGTCATTGATGTTAGGGGCCACACTTGCTAAGTGAAACAAGACAAAAATAGTCAGACTCACTTGGCACTATGTTGTGCCCACAATCAAAAAAAAACACAGGGACATAGCGTGGGTCTGCACTTATTCACCAGGGGGTTGGGGCTCACCGAAAATCGGTTACTGGTTGTGTGGCCAGGCGACTCTTTTGAAAAACATGAGTCATGGAGGGATTAAACATATATCGGACATATTTGGGAGCACCACCTAAATCGGTATTGATTCTGCCCCAGGATATCCTTTGTATGGGTTTGTCTGCAGTCTGAAAATGGGGGCACCCGGGCACCCGGGCACCCCAAAATCTCATTGTTGATCATAATTTTCCCAATCAAAATCGAGGTACGACCCAATTTTCAGACACACTCATATCATCTCATCATCGCCATGTCCCGCCTCTCTACCAGCTTCCTTGAAGTCAAACCTGACGCGAGTTCTTCTCCCAAGTGGTCCCCCGTGGCCGCAGCCAAATCCCATCGGCCACTGTCAGCTGAGACGGATGACTGAGGCCTTTTCTTAAAGCAGAGGACTGCCGACAAAGTGCAGCAAATCGTTGGCGTCACATTTTCATCTTCGCTGTCATTGGCAAGGCTGTTCTGCTGTTGCCGAATCGGCCCGTTTGGGGGTACCCTTCCCCACAAATGGCTGTAACCCGAACTTGTATGTAAGTCAAAAAAATGAGCCGTGCCAATGTCAAGGGGCAGATATTTTCACGTTGCGACGCCCTAGATGAGGGCAGGATCTCCGGAAGCAAACCAGCACCAGCAACATCCAGCAACTTCTTCTGGCCTTTTGATGTTTCTTGATAATTTATTTGGTCTACTAAGGACATCTAAGGACATGGAATCTAAGGAGCACAACATCTTCGGCTGCTTTGCTTCTTGAAGTCTCTAAGCACTTCATCTTTGAATTTCGAGGAAATCACAATCGCACAGCTCCTGGAGGGCAGGTGTTCGGTGCATCAGTAACTTCTACCAGAAAAGTGCTTGGCAGTCCCCAAGAAATTATTTTCATAGGGAAAAATGCTGATAACCACAGGATCCCAAAATTGGGGATTGCCAAGCAGCCATCAGCTTCTATGCAACCCAATCGATGGACTGTGGGAAAAAATACTTTACTTCGAGTTATCCCCACCATGACATTTATACGTTTTGTTACTGGCAAATCTTCTGGCATTCTATCTGACATATCTTCTGGCATTTTATCTAGCATATCTTCTGGCATTCTATCTGGCATATCTTCTGGCATATCTTCTGGCATTCTATCTGGCATTTTTTTTGCTGCCCTACCCTGCTACGACGACATGTCAAAAGCGGAAGCAAGGTGTAGGCATAGCCAAACGTGCCTGCTTTGTCAAAAGTATCTAGCATTGGCTGCATTGAATATACGTGCATCCTCTTGAACGGTCTCTTCATAGTTAAACTGATGCATTTTTTCTTCGTATATATATTTTTGTTTTTTGGTGTAATGCAACCAGTTTTGCCTTGGTCTACCGTGCCTCTTTTTTCCATATGGGACGCGGTTCACTGAATTTGGTTGAAAGGAGATTTGACGTAAAGGGTCTTGTTGAGTGGTTCTGGCAATATGTCCCAATAATTTGGCTCGCCTTTCATTATAACAATGGCTGCATAAAAGGTTGTTTTCATGATTTCCATGAGTGGACATGAGATCGGATGCTCTTCGCAAAACATATCTGTTTGTGAACCGCCTGTCAATAAAAGTAGACGGGAGGTTGAGGATTTTCCTCAAGCCTCGGATCTGGAATGTGTCGATTTTGTTCAACATGGCTTTTGTAAGATGAACCGTTTCCAAACCATATAACAACTTGGCTCGGATCACTGCATCAAAAATTCTAAGTTTCCATTTTACGTTTGCATCCGACGCTTTCCAATAAGGCAGAAGTTTGAACCATGTTATTCTGACAGTTTGGAGTTTGTTCAAAATTTCATGTTTCACATTGATTTCCCTGTTAAGTTCATTTCCCAAATATGTTGCTTCATAATTTTAGGGGAGTGGCGTGGCATCGTCAAAGTGAATATTTCCGTCATTATTCATAGGGATGGCGATGCATTTATGTCTGTTCAACCTTAATCCGTATTGGCCTGAAAATGTTTCTGTTAATCTCAACAGCTCGTTTAATGCCCTGTTATCGGTGGAGAAGAGGATGGTGTCGTCAGCATAAAACACACTGTCGTAATTCTACCTGTCTACCTGGCATATCTTCTGCAATATGTTCTGGCATATCTTCTGGCACTCTATCTGGCATATCTTCTGGCATATCTTCTGACATCCTATCTGGCCTTCTATCTGGCAAATCTTCTGGCATTCTATCTGGCAAACATTCTGGCACTTTATCTGGCATACCTTCTGGCATTCTATCTGGCATATCTTGTGGCATTCTATCTGGCATATCTTCTGGTATTTTATCTGGCATATCTTCTGGCATTCTATCTGACATTCTATCCGGCGTTCTATCTGACATATCTTCTGGCGTTCTATCTGGCATATCTTCTGGCATTCTACCTGGCATATCTTCTGGCATATGTTCTGGCATATCTTCTGTCTGGCATTCTATCTAGCATATCTTCTGGCATATCATCTGGCAAATCTTCTGGCATTCTATCTGGCAAACATTCTGGCACTTTATCTGGCATATCTTCTGGCATTCTATCTGACATTTTATCTGGCATTCTATCTGGCATACCTTCTGGCATTCTATCTGGCATATCTTCTGGCGTTCTATCTGGCATATCTTCTGGCATTCTATCTGGCATATCTCATGGCATTTTATCATATCTTCTGGCATTCTATCTGACATTCCATCTGGCATATCTTCTGGCATTCTATCTGGCCGTTGGGGTCCAGCGGTGCACACTGAGCTGGACAGGTCCCAGGTTGAGGTCCAGCTTGAGGTCCAGCGGTGCACACTGAGCTGGGCAGCTCCCAGGTTGAGGTCCAGCAGTGCACACTGAGCTGGGAAGTTGGCAAAGAGCTTGGCGCAGAGAGTCGGCGAAGAGAGTTGGCAAAGAGCTTGGCGAAGAGTTGGCAAGGCGGAAGTGCAGGTGGAAGTTAATGCAGACATGGTCGAGGAGAAACTGAAGGAGGAGGCGAGGAGGAGGAGGAGGAAGAGGACAGCTAGTCGAGGAGGAGGAGGAGGACGAGGAGGAGGAAGATGAGGCGGAGGAAGAGCGCTCTGATAAAATCTAACAACCCTCACCTGGCAGGTGGGGAAAAACACAAAACGTGTGTGGTGTGCAGTATGAAACTAGAGTGAATATACCAGATACGTAGAAAAGAAACATCATTTCGGTATGAGTCAAACCTGAAAGGACATTCTTGACCTACCAAATCGGCTGTTTTGAGTATTAAGCTATCCGTTTTTTACAGGTCGTTTTCAACCCTTCGAAAAACAAATAGTCAAGTTGGATCCCCAATAGCCAGGTAGGGACAAGAAAGCAACATAAGTCATGAGTCAAAAAATGCCAAAAAAATGCCAACCAACCAGAACATCCATAGCCATCCATAGCCACCAATAAACGTACATATGGGTTTGTCTGAAAATGCGGTGCCACTAAATCCATTGAATAACCATCATGTTCCTTTTAAACAGAGCCCGGGTGCAGCCCATTTTCAAACAGCATCGTTTTGGTCCTCGGCAGAGCCGACCCATTGGTGTGGTGCTGCACGTACTACAGACCTCAAAAAGCCGAGGATGACTACGGATGACCCTCCTTCTATGGAAAAAAATAACATCAACTTGGGGAGGAAGCAGACCAAATCACATGGAAATGATCAAGATACTTCCCCAAGTGAGGGGAATCCCAAATTGGTTTCTGTTTTGGGAAGTATTTTTGATCGTTTCAAATCTCGTTTGCCCAGATAGATATGGAGGTATATGGAAAACCCACCAGAAATGAAGTATAGATCATATCCCTGGTTGGGAAAGCTATTCACGAATTTGCATGTCTGGTAATCATTAGGGCTTCTTTTTTGATCCATTCCTGCTTATACGGGTATACGGTATACACCTTAAGTGGGACATATCCCTTACCTTTCCCAGTTGTAGGGGACAATTTTCGACACAACACACTTTCCATGGAATTCATTGGGGGATTTGCGCGAATTTGCATGGAAGTGATCATCAAATTAAGTTACTGCTGGAATCTAGACATGGTACCTCACCAAACTAATAGACCCATGGTAGTTTCGTCCATTTGATCATCCCATATCATCCCAATCTTTCGTACTTGACAAGTCTGTATATCTGAATAGTTAAGTACAGGATGTGTGACTTGAATGTGTTAAGTATACAGATATAGTAAACATATACTATATTACTAATATACTATATGTTAAGTACTTATGTATCATGAATATATCTGAATATACTATGTGTACAGAATGTGTGACAACATGAATCAGGTCTCTGTACGTGTTTTAGGGATTACCTTCGCGCCTTCCCTCTACATGTCTCAGCTCGCAACGGTGCGATAACATCTCCCACAGCGTACGCCTTGATCCTGAAAACCCCAAAGAAAGCCGCCACACTGCTGGCACCTGGGGGAAAATTGCGGACGGAAATCTCGACAAATGTGCCCCCATTCAATTGAGGAAAATCCAACGAATAGTTGATGGTTTATATACCAAACCCCAATAACAAGAACGTTGATGGTGGTTAATACCAGTGAACGGACATATGTTTCTTTATATAAACCAAACTACATCAAACTAATTTGCTACTCTTGGATATCCTGCAGAAAGAATATCTTCAGCTGGTCATTGTGTAGTATACACCCATTTAATCCCATTTATATATGGCAAATGATCAGCCGAAGTGTGACCAAAAGTTTTGCACGAAAAAAACTGCACAGCATACCCCCTTGGTGGCTAAAACAAGCGCCCAGCGTCCACGTTGGTTCGTAGAGTGTGACGCGGCTAAATTGGCAACGTGTTTCAGACATGATGCCTTGGGTCAAGCACAGGTTGACTGACTGAGTGTCGCGAACTGAAATGGGGTACCAGGGGACCTCACAAGTGCATGAAATTGGCCGCTTGTTCATATCATATATATATATATATTATATTATAGTATATGTAGATAGATTTTCTTACCATCCGAAAATGGGGGCAAATAATTCTTAAGAGACCCAACCGGTGCTTTGGGCCTGGCAGAATCACGTGGCATCCCTAATTGTTTGCAAAGATTTGGACCAGGCAATGTAGTAGGGTATCCAAAGCCATGCATGATGTCTTTCAACTGATACTCATCACGGACGGACAACCAAGCTGGAACATGACATAACATAAATTCAACTGATTGAACTCAAAGAATTCTGGTTGGCGGCCAGATAAAAGTTGCAGAACAAGAACAGGTCGTCAAAAGTCGTCAATTCAACCTCTGTCATCCCCAAACCTTGCTTGACAGGCATTCCCATAGTCGCTTGGTTCATGATCCCCGTTAAACCCTAGTATAACGTCTATAATTATCTATTAAATATAATATGAATGGTGATATGCATGTATACACATATTCTTACATAATATCATTTGTACACATGTCTATAGTATATCTACAAAACGTAAACCATCAACCACCACGGATTGTGGCATGCATTTTACCCCATGGCATCTGCTGTGCCAAAATACTGAAGCCATCGCGCGCCCGCTCTGGAAGTTCGTCTGAGGCAGCGACCCGAGTCAACGACTTGCTTTGTACAGTGCCAAATATTATTATTGAACAGAGGAACACATGGATATACTAGTAGTATCTTATGTATTGTTACACGTAATTATCGCAATTACTTTTATCTATACGTACAATTAGTACAATTGTACAGCATAATTTGACTTTATCCAAAAACACTACTGTAGAGGGGCCTGGACCCAAAATACATTATGTTTATGTTACAGCATTAATTTTCCATATGTTTCATCCATTTTCTGACGCGAAACTCTGCATTTGTTTGCATTTGTCGGACGTCGTGGCATTTTTTTTGCATTTGTTGTGGCATTTGTTTGCATTTGTTGCGGCATTTGTGTGCATTTGTTGTGGCATTTGTTTGCATTTGTTGTGGCATTTGTTTGCATTTGTTGTGGCATTTGTTTGCATTTGTTTGCATTTGTTGTGGCAGTTTTTTGCATTTGTTGTGGCATTTGTTTGTATTTGTTGTGGCAATTGTTTAGGTTTGCTCTGCATATATGTTTGCAAATGTACTGACAAAAACCGTAAATGCTGGAACAAATGTATGCATATACGTACGTAATATATGTAAGTACATATGTAAGTATATGTGTAAATAAATGCAACAACAATTGCATAAGATCTTATTTTGTGAAAATAGGATCTTATTTTGTGTAATCAGTGTAATGACAAAAAAAATAACTTAGTTTCGCCAAAAAAATATTTATTGTTGTTGCATATGTTTGCGTTTATTTATGCATTTAGCATTTGTCGTGGCATAAGTTATATGTATTAATATTACGACAAATTACGGTCCAATAAGAGCACATCTGTCGAGCATGTACCATATATGTAACCACAAATGTCGAGCAAGTAAGGGTAAATGCAAAGACATATGATGTGACAATGTTAAGAAATGCAAGCCAAATGTCGAGAAATGCAAGCACAAGTGTTGAGAAATGCAAACACAAATGTGTTTATATGTAAGGTGAAATGTTGAACACCTAAAAATAAATGCAGACATATATGTTTGTTTGCGTCGGTACAAATGTAAAATAAATGCAGTAAGAAATGCGGTACATGCACGTATGCTTCCGTATGGGGTCTATGGAGAAGGCCTTCAAAGAGCTTTTGGATTCAGTCAAAGTAATATATATATATATATCAAAGCGCAACAATGGACAAATCCACACTAAACGGCATACAATAATGGAACATTATATCCACCTGAATTGAACATAAACCTGAAACATGGACAACATTAAATTTCGTTAATGACATTCCTATTGAAGATCTTATTGAGTTCCAGGTAAAATTGAGCTGTGCAAGTATCTACAGTCGAATTTGGAAAACTGGAAAATGCGACATTCAACCCGCCCATGTGTAATCATGTTTAGCTGCTTCATTCATCTCATTGTTTTTTATATCCCATGTAGGACCAGGATGGACCAGGTAGGATCGACGCCGGGCCAGCCTGGTATCGCTCCTTCTGATTCTTCCTCACCTGAACTCATTTCAAGCGAAACTTCTCACCAGGGAGTTAAGGTGGAGGTACCACGAATCAACCGACATATTTGACGGGGCCGTTTTCTCAACATGAACATGTAGCAATATGGGTTGCCTTTGGATAACACCAACACAATATGTGATTGTGCATGTGTAATGTTACTGAGTGATACTGAGTGTTTGTGCCTTGCAGGGATTGACTTTCTGTGAAAAAATGGCATTGCGCCCTGACATGCTTTAACCGATCTACATACCCCCTGGATCCCCCTGGTCCCCTGCCCTCAACATGGCACAGAAACAACCAACAAACAAGTTTTGATTAAGATGTTTTAAGTAACCTACATGCAACGCATGCAACCTACCGTAACTGACCTAATCTTCCACTATTCATCACTCTTCTATTTCAACCCATCTGCCATTGCCAAAATTCCCGGGGTCACTTTGGTCGCGGCTGAGGTACTGATGCTCTCCGGCAAAGTCTGCACATCGCCAGTGGCCAAGCCCGAGGTGCTCCCCGAAGGATAGCCCTCTGAGGTAGCACCAAGCATGCTCATGCGGCATAGACAAGTGCCTTGGAAGGTCTGCTTCCTCCACTGAGATGAGTCCATCGTAAATTTCGATGAGTTTTTGAGGGTCAGAAAATGAAAGCTTGAGCTATTGAATCATTGAAGTTCGGGGTATATGAGTTTGAACATGTTTGAACCAAGGGGAATATCTGTTCGAAAGGCATACGAAAGGACTTGCATTCAATTTGGGGACAACCATAACTCCAGCAGTTTCCAGACAATCTGAACTTGAGAATCCACACCTGAGTTGTGTTTTTTTTGTTTCTGATGTAGCGTGTTATCATTTTACAGGTACCTACGCCAGGCTTACATTTCGCATACGTGCGCACAATTTCAGCCCACGCGGAAGCTTGGGCGGGGATAGGTTGCCTACGCAGGCCTACGCGCGTGAGGTTTTATGTAATTTCTAACTGAATATGCCTACGCGGCCACAGTCTCAGCAACATGTTCGTATGATTGCGCACCCTTTTACAAAGCTGTTCGTGATTCCAATAATCGCATTAAAGACAATGCAGGGCAAGAGGGCCATGTGATTATTCATTGGTTGTGACATGGTGAGAAGACATTAGGCAATTACCTATTTCGCTAAAAATGCATCGAGCACGTTGAGCGCACGTTGTTTTTCAGTCCGCAAATGACTCAAACGAAGAGGAGGAAGAGGAACTTGAAGAAGAAGAAGAAGAAGAAAAAGAAGAAGAAGAAGATTCCGCAGGTCGAAGACGCTGGTTCTGCCATCGCTTCTTGGCAGCAGGGAAACAACATATAATATCATGTAATATGTTGCAGGCGCATGTTTGGGGGAATCCCTGACAGTTTTCGCCTACGCGTTGCCTACTTTTCGCCTACGCGGTGCCTACGCGGGGGAGCTCCTTTATTTTCAGATTTTGGCCATGCAAACTTCGAGGCTTGAGACTCTGCAGAAAAGGGAACGGAACAGTTCCATTAGCTTTTGTTTCTCAGCAAAACAGTTGTTATCTTCTAATTACCTGTGTTTTTTGGACAGCGGAAATTTCGCATGCTGCATCGAGCTACACTCATTAGACCCTTCATTCTTGACACACAGGCTGCACAATTCATTGACTCTGCGGTCACCTACGCAGCGTCTGCCGTAAAATGAAAGCAAAATACGCCTACGCCTACGCCCCCAGCAAACTGCCTACATCCAACCATGTGCAGGTCAACTCTCATATAAATCTTTATACTTGTAATTACTTTACTTCGTGTGATCCCCACCATGACATTTATACATTTTCTTACTGGCAAATCTTCTGGCATTCTATCTGACATATCTTCTGACATTCTATTTGGCATTCTATCTGGCATATCTTCTGGCATATGATCTGGCATATCTTCTGGCATTCTATCTGGCAAATCTTCTGGCATTCTATCTGGCATATCTTCTGGCACTCTATCTGACATATCTTCTGGCATTCTATCTGGCATATCTGGCATATCTTCTGGCATATATTCTGACATATCTTCTGGCATTCTATCTGACATATCTTCTGGCATATATTCTCTGGCATATCTTCTGGCATATCTTCTGGCATATCTTCTGGCATATCTTCTGGCATATATCTTCTGGCATTCTATCTGGCAAATCTTCTGGCATTCTATCTGGCATATCTTCTGGCATTCTATCTGACATATCTTCTGGCATTCTATCTGGCATATCTTCTGGCATTCTATCTGGCATTCTATCTGGGCATATATTCTGACATATCTTCTGGCATTCTATCTGGCATTCTATTTGGCATTCTATCTGGCATATCTTCTGGCATATCTTCTGACATTCTTTCTGAACTTTCTAACTTTCTGCACATTCTTTGTCCCATATCTTCCTACATGAGGTCCGGCAGGGAACACTTGGCGTGGATACTCGCGTTGAGGTCCGGCAGGGAACACTGGGCGTGGATGGTCGTGGTTGAGGTCCGGCAGGGAACACTGGGCGTGGCTGGTCGTGGTTGAGGTCCGGCAGGGAACACTGGGCGTGGATGGTCGTGGTTGAGGTCCGGCAGGGAACACTGGGCGTGGATGGTCGTGGTTGAGGTCCGGCAGAGAACACTGTGGATCGCGGGTCGCAGTTGGACGAGGACGACGAGGACGACGAGGACGACGAGGACGACAAGGACGACAAGGATGACAAGGAGGACGAGGAGGACGAGGAGGACGAGGAGGAGAGGAGGAGGAGGAGGAGGACGAGGCAGGAGGAGGCAACTGACATAAAATCTAACAACCCTCACCTGGCAGGTGGGGAAAAAAAAAACTCCGCTCACCTGAAACGCGGTCATCAAGCTTTCCCAGGTTGTTCGGCCTTGGCCTATCTCCAAATCCTACTGAAATCTACAGTGAAAGGCGAGAATCTCAATTCCTTCTGGAGACTTTATGCCAGTTTAGGCTGAATATCTGAGGAGTAAATAGTCTCAAACCCTGGGCACCAAAGTGACTCAGTCCCACGCTTGAGATCCGCATGCCTATTCCTGCTCGTTATCAAAGGAAGTTGAGACGCAATGTTCAGAGTTACAGACAAAGTGAACTATGACTACAGTACCTTCAAATTACACTCACCTTCAAGATTTCAAGAAAAAAAGGTTCGCACATACAACTCCTGCTAAGTCACGTGTAGTTTGTTAAACCATCTAATTTTGGATGTAACTGATAGATCATCAATTATAAATCCTCCAAAAATTGGATTCATCATCCAATTTCACGGATCCAAAAACGCAAAATCATCGATTCTTTGGGTTCTGAGACTTGAGCATTTCACCATCCCCCTTATATAAATCATCTCGTCTGCGTGGCTAATCTCTGCCGTGTGCTCCAGGATGTCGAGTTGGGTCAAAGGCCCATTGAAGCTCCCGTCTTTCTGCTGGAAGGATAACATGCAACTCCTGGCAAAATTTATGTGGGGGGTACCCCATTTTAAGAACCCCCCAGGCCATATATGCCCATATGTATAGAGAAATTATAGAGATCTCTATACAATGTACTTTATTGTACTTTATCGCAGCTTCCCAAAGGGTTCAACATTCTAAATTCATGCACAAACAGCGCTGAAGGCGCCTGTTCATGCACCTCAGCATCTCACTCCCCTGCTGGTGTCCAAGGAATTTAGCCCAAAAGCCGCTCAGATCTACTGGTTCATCATCATCCAAACGAAAAGTTGCCATAAAACAGGGGTATCACGGTATCACCCATTGTCAGACACACCCATATCATACATATTGTTGCTGAACAAGTATCATTGTCATGTTATATTCCAATATAGTACATCCGAGTATATCTTCATATCAGTGGTTTTACTACCCCATCTTTGGTGCTTAATAAGCATGATTTAAAGCCACAAGATTAGGCAAGCAAATTCCCATGGATTCCCATGGGATAAGCAGCCGCTCTCCTGAGGCGGTACATGCTTTCCTGATCCCCCAGCATGGCAGCAGCGCAGGCAGTGCCGTAGGCTGTGGAAGCGGTGAAGAAGTTCTTGCAACGCTTCAGGTACAACAGCCTCGGCATAGTGGGATGGTGGAGATGGTGGAGATGGTGGAGATGGTTGGTGAGAGACTTGATACAAATGCCCATATGTTTTATCTGGTTCCAAAACACATCTGATATGAAAGTCCTTCCACAACCAAAGTTGGGGGGTCCCATGGTGTTTGGGGGAGTATCTCTTTTTGGCCTTGGGTGAGAATGGTAGGTGGGATGATGTCAGAGATTGCATACGCTATCAAATCAGGAAGAGCTAAGTGAATCATCATCCCATCACATTAAAAGTCACAAGACCCTACACAGCATCAATGACGAAAAGTCACATCAGGGCTGGACAGTCACATCAGTATAAAATGGGTCTCCGCTGAATGGACGAGATTGATATCCGCCACTCCAGGCTCCCATCTGTTTGTATCTTTTCCAGTAACGAAACATGAGATTGTTTTGTGATCCGAACCGATCTCAGGTGGCTGCATTCTGATGTTCAACCCATTTCAATCCAAAAAAACTAATTTTAATCTATCATAGTCTGTGCAAATGTGTTTTTGTTCAGTGATTCCAACATAGTCCCACAAAGGGACATCCCAACCCATTGACAACCCATTGACAACCCGCAGCTACCTCAGCCCGCCCCCGAGAAGCAATTCATTCGCAACCGCGCGATATTTCTCTTTGGCCGAGTCGGCCATGCTCCTGGGAAAAACTGGGATGATTCGTTTTAGCAAAGAGGTCAGATGTGTGAGAAAAGATGCAAAATGCTATCAGAATGCTATCAGATATGTGTGCGAAATGGGATGAAATGGGTAAGACTAGCAAGATCTGTGAAGAAAGGCGGGAAATATCAACATCGGGTTTAACATGCGAAAGTATCACTCGAAGTCTTGAGAAGTTGTGCGACCCACGGCCTGAAGGAATTGGCGACTTCCAGCAGAACAGCGGTGGGTAGCCCCAACAGGAAGTACAGCCTTGGCACTGCTTGTGGGCATCTGTATCCGCATCATCATTCACCATCTAACAAACTCGATAAATCCAAACCGCCAAACCCGATTTCAGGCCCATCTTTATCATCTTGGATGGATTCCAAGACTTGCCGCCACTGAAGGTCACTTTTTGAGTGAATCTATCACCACTGCAACCATGGGGCTGTTGTTCTCCCGATGTCGTCACACAGTACAAAGGATCCTGCGGCGGGAAACTGTGACAGTCAGACAATCGTCAGTTGGCATGTGCACTGCCAGGACCTCTCAATGATTTTTTGGGGAAGATCATGGAAAATCTATGGAAACTGAAGAAACCACCGTCCACCCAATCATGAGTGGGTGTCCTGATATTTCCCATTGTCTGGGAAACTACCATGGACCCCAAAAATCAACATGTCCAGGTCCCGAAAATCATCCTCCGATATCTTCTGTTTTCCGCTTGGCTTCAAACTCTTAGTTTTCCGCAGGTGGCGGACCGCAACCACCGGCGCAAACCTCGTCGTTCTCGACGAAGCCATCTGCCCAGGTCCAGCGTAGAAAGAAGCGGCCGGAAGCCATATACCTCCTGGCAGGGCGCATGGAGGTTCGCCCCCCAGGTGACCACCAAGGAATGATGGTCGTAGGGCGAATCTTCACCACAACGGCCAGCAGGGTATTTTTTGGGGGTGGCTGGCTGATCCTGGCTGATCCTGGTGAATCTATGGGGGATCTTGGCCACAAACCATTAAACAAGTAGGGAATAATTAGACCTCAATCAAAATGGAAACGGGAATGTCGTTTCAACTCGGGATATGGATAGGATATGATACGATCAACTGTCACAAGAGTTGGATGTTGATTGCTGTGACAAAAGATATGAGATAAGTGAATTCCCCTGGCAGAGACTGGTTGGTTGAGGTTGGAATGCTCATCATTCCATTCGTCAGAAATTCACCTCAGGAGTGAAAGGAGGAGGACCTTTTGAGACCGTTTCTCAACCCTTGGGGGAATGGAGCCTGGCCTAAAAACCGAAAAAGAGTGGGTTCCCAAGGTGTATCTACCATCTGGCTCTTCTCCAGGTCCCGTAGGCGCTGCCCCACAAGTGGACGCTCAGTGCCAATGGAAGCATCCAAACTGATTCGTCGATTTTTATGATCCACCGCCATTCTTTCTCCAAACTGTTCTGACAACAACAAAACACGACGACGATTTCCCCAGTATTGTTGCTGAATTTCCCTTAGATCCTCGATTGTTTGTTCCTTACGCTCCAGTAGACAAACATAGAAATGCAAAATCCATAATGGTTTTCTAGGGAAACGGTCTACAAATGGCTGCTTTTCCATAATGTAGGAGACCCAATAATGAACCGTCCAAGTGACAAACCCTTTCTGGGATCATTCTACATCATCTCAAACCCAATACTTACCCCGAATGATTAGCGATAGTTGATGATTGAGTTTACAAATTCCTCGAATTATATCAGATAATGCATCTATCTTGGTCTAGAGGCATCTACAGGCTAAATCCATCTATATCCTCCAAATTCTTAGCCTTGGCGCATCTTGGCTCACATCCTTTTTTGAACAACACACAACAACACCCCGAGGCACCACGTGTCCGCCGTCATCCGCCCCGTCGCCTGTTGGCATCTACGGCCCGCAGCAAGGAGTTGGCAGCGGCCACCGCCAGCGACTCTTGACCGCTGAGAATAGCCGCCTGGGACGGTGGGACCTTTGTATAATACTGTAGGGAATCCCTTGTTGTACAAGCATAATTATTAGTATTAATATGGTATCACATATACAAGTACAATCCCAGTGTACCAACAATATCATATCCAATAAGATTGTATAATGGTGTTTATAATATATATATATATGAATATTGTAGGTACAATGGGATATAATGTGTCTTATAACATGGTTGTTCTCCAGTTTGGATAAAAATAAACATCTATGGTTATGATATGGGATCTTTTCAATCAATACCAGTGCCTCGACTGGAAATTTGTATTATGCTATTTACATGCATATGGAAGATATTCCGACTTTCATCCACTTTCACTATACCCCATATGCTCCATGTATGGTATATTTACCTACAAAACTGGGTGATTTATGTTGGGCAAACGTTGGTAAATATTCCATACATGGAGCATATGGGTATAGGTCCGTATCCAATTATGAAGTTGGGGAAAAACCGAGTCGTCCACCACCAATCACTTGGATGTACATCCCAGTTTTGTAGATTCTGCTGGGGAGCTTTACCCTATTCGGATGGTATGTTGGTATGTTGGTATGTTGGTATGTTGGTATGTTGGTATGTTGGTATGTTGGTATGTTGGTATGTTGGTATGTTGGTACGTACGTACGTATGTACGTATGTACGTATGTACGTCTGTACGTCTGTACGTCTGTACGTATGTACGTATGTACGTATGTACGTATGTACGTATGTATGTACGTATGTACGTATGTACGTATGTACGTATGTACGTATGTACGTATGTACGTATGTACGTATGTACGTATGTACGTATGTACGTATGTACGTATGTACGTATGTACGTATGTACGTATGTAAGTATGTAAGTATGTAAGTATGTATGTATGTATGTATGTATGTAGGTATGTAGGTACGTACGTACGTACGTATGTATGTAGGTAGGTATGTATGTATGTATGCATCCATGCATGCACATGCATGCATTTATGTATGTACGTGTGTACGTAGGTACGTAGGTGCGTAGGTATTGAGGTATGTACGTATGTACGTGTGTACGTAGGTACGTAGGTACGTAGGTATGTAGGTACGTAGGTACGTAGGTACGTAGGTATGTTGGTATGTAGGTAGGTAGGTTGGTAGGTAGGTAGGTAGATAGGTAGGTAGATAGGTAGGTAGGTAGATAGGTATGTATGCATGTATGTATGTGTGTATGGTCCCGTGTCCCGTGTTCCCGAGAGCGTGAGCTTGGGGGACCATACCATGGGGGGAGGGGGGGGCCAGGGATCCGGGATCCGGACTCATATATATATATATATATATATATTATATGTAATACGTATGTCAGATATCCTATTCGTATAGTATGATGATATAGTATGTATGTCATTGCAGGCTGTTAAGCAGCTACTATTGGGAGTCGAGCGTGTCTGGAAAAAGACAATACAGCACTAGTATAAAGGTGACTAATTGTCGTCGACTATCCTGTTAATTAGTTATCATATGTTATCATGTTCTTTGTCCTATCAAAATTGGTATAGCTGGAAAAGAATGGAAAAGGTGTAAAGGGCGAAGATATCCATGATATTTAGCTTGCCATTCTGAACTCCCCAGTTTCTAATTTCAGTGCGCTTGCCGATAAACAATAAAATCAATAAGTTTTCGGTCATCGTTTTTGGCGTACGGGGTTGTCTGACAGTTCGGTACCCCATTCCATCCACTGACTACATAATCCTTTTCCCCCCCAAAAAAAAGCAAGCTACTTGAAACTGCCATCAATGAGCCTGATTCACCACCATGTTCCTAGTAAAACTGCCATAAATTAGGCCAAAGAAGGGACAGTTAAATGGATGAACTATCGTAAAACTACCATAAATTCGTGTATAAAACCCATGAAAACAGACCAGACCTGGACTTTGACCGGACCCAACTCCCGCACCCAATTCATCATCGCCTTTGCCAGCACTGCTGTGGCAAAGAAGTCTGCCTGAAGGAGATGTGGTGGATTTGACCTACCAATGGGGATATAGTGGGGATTTATATGATTCAGTTGATTGATTATTAATATTATGCTAGATTTAGTTGATTGATTAGTGTATTATGCTAGATTCAGTTGATTGATTATTATATTATGCTAGATTTAGTTGATTGATTAGTGTATTATGCTAGATTCAGTTGATTGATTATATTATGCTAGATTTAGTTGATTGATTAGTGTATTATGCTAGATTTAGTTGATTGATTAGTGTATTATGCTAGATTTAGTTGATTGATTAGTGTATCATGGTGGATTTAGTTGATTGATTGTTATATTATTGTGGATTTAGTTGATTGATTATTATCTTATGGTGGATTATCTAGGTGATTGATTGTTATACTATGGTGGATTTAGTTGATTGATCATTATCTTATGGTGGATTATCTAGGTGATTGATTGTTATACTATGGTGGATTTAGTTGATTGATTATTATCTTATGGTGGATTTAGTTGATTGATTATTATCTTATGGTGGATTTAGTTGATTGATTATTATCTTATGGTAGATTTAGTTGATTTATTGTTGTATTATGGTGGATTTAGTTGATTGATTATTATCTTATGGTGGATTATCTAGGTGATTGATTGTTATACTATGGTGGATTTAGTTGATTGATCATATTATGGTGGATTATCTTATGGTGGATTTAGTTGATTGATTATTATCTTATGGTGGATTTAGTTGATTGATTATTATCTTATGGTAGATTTAGTTGATTTATTGTTGTATTATGGTGGATTTAGTTGATTGATTATTATCTTATGGTGGATTATCTAGGTGATTGATTGTTATACTATGGTGGATTTAGTTGATTGATCATTATCTTATGGTGGATTATCTAGGTGATTGATTGTTATACTATGGTTGATTTAGTTGATTGATTATTATATTATCTAGAATTAGTTGATTGATTAGTGTATTATGGTGGATTTAGTTGATTGATTATTATATTATGTTGGATTTACTTAATAGATGATAATATGTGGTGGATTTGCTTGATTGATTGTTATATTATGGTGGATTTAGTTGATTAATGGATTCAACTTTCAATTAACTGGGGATTTAACGGGGACATCATCCCTTCCCCAAATTATCAAGTACCACTCTGTAAGTGCTGGTTTAGTATTGGATCTGTTCATGTTGGGAGGCAATATGATAATATGATCCAATATGGATACCCTCTGGTAATTTAACATAGCTATTGAAAATGGCAATTTTTAGTGAGTTTTCCCATTAAAAATGGTGATTTTCCATAGTTATGTTAGTTTACCAGAGGGTATTTTATTTGGGGGACGGGACTTGTTGAAAAGGTGGATGTCCCAGAAGAATCCATCAAAACTGGGATTTTCACCAACAGGAGCTAGGAGATTCATCAACTAAAAGGAGGATGGCCAGTTGAACGATGCCCCCTTCAGCCATCCCCAAAGCTACTGTTGGCCTGTCAACCAGCAGGGATTTGGGCATTACTCAGGGTACAGTATTGATTGACGACACTGGGAGTTTACTAAACACCTTAAAAGCACAGGGGTTTTTGATGGTTTTTGCCATGTTCATCCCCATCTAGCCATGGCGCCTCGTAGTTTTCGTTCCAGGTGTATGGTTCTGAAATGATGCCACTGCTGGTCAAAGGATGGCGATATCTCAAGATGGCCTGCACACATCTCCTGAGCGAGCTGGGGAAAAAAAGTTCGGCAGCTGGCAAGCTACCTGATGCTACCTGGCATGACCCAGAAGTGGTCATGCCAAAGTAGTCATTTTGTGATATATATACGTATATATATATATATATGTATATATTTGCACGATCCTTAGAAGAAGCAAACATAGGCATTTGCTCAAGGTGACTGCCCTGAGATGGAAACATAGGCATTGGTCAATGAGTCAATATCTATACATGTTACATGGGAGGACCGGCATGAGGGGATGAGCATGTCATACCACGATGTTCAGAGGGCGCATGTGGGGGCGGTTTTGACCCACATGTTGAACACGGAACAGGTGACGCAATGCTACGTTCAGCAGAATTGTACCGATAGTCCCTCGGAAAATTTACATTTTTGCAGCTGATAAACAATGACCTGGCCCCTTGAAAATGTGCCATCTACATGAAAATCCGCCATCTACAGTAAGTGTTTTTTTCAGCAAATGATTTAATCAATACATTGTGACATACTGTTCAAAAGAGGGGTCAATTTGCTTGCGATGAGCTTGGTATTTGGGATGCTTTGGAACGGCCAGACTTCCCATCATATCCATTCATATCCCATCATAATAGATGATCTTCAATTTGTTTCATGACTTTCAATCCCATCATATCCCATCATATCCCATCATTTCCCGAACAAAAAAAACATGCATTTTCAAAACGGACCTCCTCCCGGCCCTGGGTAAACTCGCCCAAGTTTCTCCGCAAGTTCGCCTTGACCGAGTCGGGCTGCTGCCTCGCAGATCCAAAGGAGTGAATACCTCGGGGGGCTGCAGGCTGCGGCTCGGGGATAGTCCACCAAAACTTGGGATTTGACCCATTGATCATCCATTGATCTAATTGGGAGACATAGGATTGGAGATACTTGGGATATTTATGGTGGAATATGTTATATGGATATTATGTCACAAATAGAAAAACGGGTGATTAAACCCAATATATGGGGACTATGGGGATTAACTATCACTCTATAACGGGGATTTTATGGGATTCAATGGGTCTCTAATAGATTCTAATAGGATATATAATATAACAAACCAACCTAACATGATGTACGACGATATATTATGGGTGTGTCTGAAAACTGATGGGTTTTACCACTCATAATATGGATACCGCAAAAATGACCATTGAAAGTTGTTTTTTTGCCAAGCAAGAATTATTCGGGAGCAACATAAGAGGGCTTCCACATGGTTCAACCAAGAGACAGTCCGACCTACATTTAAAAATAACTATGGTCTGTAGAATATGAGAAGTCGCCTAATAATTGACTACAGTGATGTAGAAATGGGTTGTAGTGACTACGACCTACTGGGTCACCTAGTGAAATAAATTGACTCACAATTGAAACCAACATTCCGTTTTCACCAACGACAAAATTAGTTTATCATATGTTATTAGCGGTTTCCAGGGAAAATCTATGAAAATCCAGCGACTCCAGAAAGCATAGTTTCGCGACCTCACCAATAGGCAAAAGCATTTCACAGGATGTGACCATAGGGCTATAGTAGCCGCTAATGGAGTAAACCCCAAACCATAAACCAAGTGCAATTTCACCTGAAATGGGCTGAATTTTAACCATTCCCAATTATAGTACTGGGATTCTTCTTACTTTGATATGACCCAGAGTCTAACTGAATGATTTTCCTCCATAACATCCCAGCAATGTATGATACCATCTAGATTTCGCTTTTTGAAAAAGGAAGGTGGCCCAAAATCATGGGAAAAATCATGGGAAAATCCCAAAAAAACAGACCAAGCCGCTGCGGGTAAATCATGGTAAGCTTCTTTGAGCCTCGGGCTTGTTCCAGAATCTGCCAGAGAGCTCATGGCTTTTTGTGATTCATTTTTATATATCCCTCTGGTTATTTAACATAGCCATGGAAAATCACCATTCTTAATAGGTAAATATAGGTAAATCATCCATAGATGGACCATTTTCCATAGCTATGTTAAATAACCAGAGGGTATATATATATAGATAGATAGATGTGTGCTGTGAGGATCTGTGAAGGGTATAGGAGCAGTGAGTAGTACAAAAAAAGAGAGAAGTATGATTCACTGCAAAATTTGAGTCCATGGTTCCCTCATAACTCACCCCATCATTCGGTTGGGCTTCCCATATTGAAGTTGTTCATAGGCCCCATTGAACTGCATGCACCACACATACGTACCGTGTGTTTAACAGTTGAAATTTAACTCATATTTCACCATCAACTAGCAAGAATTTCCTGGAGATCGTTCAACTGGGTAACCAAAATATCAATCCCTGCATTGCTTTTTTTACAGCGGAATCTACAGGAAAAAAAACTAGGAGTACCTGTTGCTTCAAACTCCACCTCGGTCCAGTTTGAAGGGATGGCCTAATAAACCCCATGTTTTACTACGTTCCCTGGCTCGCTCAATTTAAAGCACTGGTATATACTGGTATAAATTGGTTCTTATTCATATCAGTGATATAAAGTTGGATTGTCAGTATCTACCCAAAATCTCTACCTTCCTTTCATTTCAGGTCTTCATCAAGGCTAAAGATTTTGTCATTTTCTTGGATGAAGTACCCATTGTTTAACATTGGCGGATGGCCTCAAACCGTCAAAAAAAAACGCCAAGCAGCCCTGACATGTCTAGTTTTTACATCAACCACATTGTGTTACTGACAAATGATTCTCATTTACGGCTAGTGTTGCGTGTTTGCAGTAACAAGTTTTGACTGGACAATACCAACCTCAAAAAAATGCAAAGAAGTTAATGAATCAGATGTTTAAGGCTAGTAAATCGCCCAAAAAAGGCTGACCTTTGGAGCTTCCTGCACCTCCCTGCGCCCAGGCCACTCACGCGATTCGTGCGCACATACCGCGCCGCAATGTCCAGGGCCCTGCGAGCCTGCGAAGGCGCGGAAAATTGCCGACAGACATCCAACAAACCACACTCCTGTGGACAATAACAACAATAAGAGAACACATTTAGTCTTGTATATTAACATACATATATAATATATAATTTGTATGTATATATATATATATATTATATTATATATATATAATTTGTATATATATATATACACTGTCTGCTTGACTGTTGAGATATGTTGGGCTCCCCGTTCGGTGAAAAAGTCTCATGTGTGGCTTTTTGGTTCCAGAAATGTCGGGGGAATCAGCGGATCACTTGGATTCTTCGGTCGTAGCTCCAGGCCTTCCTCCTGTGGCCTTTTTATAAAACCGGTTCAGAAGCCCATAGGATCTATGTATGGTATATATGCTAACATAAAGGGGGGTATATTGATGGGATCCATGTTACCATATATGGCATACATGGATCCTATGGGAAGATGGAAATGACAAAAAAACAAAAAGGTGATCTAACTATAGCTATTGAAAATGCTCCATAAAAATGTCCATTGATAGTGGATTTTCCTAAATCCGAAAAAAAGATGGTGATCTTCCATAGCCATGTTCGACCGGGTAACTCATGGCCCATCCCATGGATTGCACCGTGGCACCTCCGCCTCTCGTCCCGCTTCCATGAAGGCCACGGGCAGTCGGAAGTAGTAGGCCACCTGCCGAAAACGTCATGGATTTTGCCAACAGTTAGATGTCTTTCTTGTGTCATTGATGATCCATGGATTGCAGGAATATGTGCAGGATTTTCATATATGTGTATATCTATAGATACATATAATATATATATATAATGTTATATAGTTATATATATAAGTTGTTACCTGTTTCACCCCCAAATATCAGGCTTCCCGGCGAATTTTCCCTTCAACCAATCCTACAATTTTGAGGACATCCAACGAAATGCCACGAGTATGTCGGTTTTTGTTTCTACATCCTGAACTTTGGCCCTGGTCTAAAAAAACTCTCCGATCCGGGTGAGTGCACTATAACTGCAGCCAAAGGACATCGTCATGCTGGGAAATCCAAGTTTCATCCAGGGATCGGGAGAGGTACATCAACCTGATTTTTTGTGAAGGGGTGGAGCCAGTGGAGCCAGTGGAGCCCCCAAAATAGCTATAACTTGACGGATCAGAGGTTATGGCGATGGAAAAAATGGATGTTTATGGGGAACGTACTGATAACTCTTTTTTTGGTGGCTTTACGAAGCAACTAGTAACTGGGGGGCTTAACTTGATATGTATATATATATATGTATATATATATATGTATATATATATATATGTATATATATACATGTATATATATATATATGTATATATATGTATATATGTATATATATATATACATATGATATGTTTTCATATTGTATCCCCAAAAGGTCGAGCCATTGGGTACCTCGAAAAATTGGATGGTCGGTCGACCCCAAAAAATTGCATGAAAAATGGCCGCTGCCTTCAGTTTGGCCAAAGAGTTCACCCCTGACAACGGCCGGGCATTGACCATTCTTGAAGTGTGGTGTTGTTAATTGATGTTAATGCCCAGATTGTCACACTAATTGATGTTAATTGACCATTCTTGGCATTAATTGATGTTAATTGACCCCTGTTAATTGATGTTAATTGTACAGAAAGCATCAGAAAGCAATCTACAGTCGATGAAGAAGTATATGCTCTGAACATCTCTGAGCTACTACAAAAACATCCCTTAAAATGGGTTTATAGCACCGCTGATTTTGACTTTGTCAAATTACTTACAAAGTCATAGACAAGCCTTACTAGTACAAGAGCCTTTAGATCGACTCATGATCGACTCCCATTTCCCAAAATAGGGGTACTCTGAACCAATGCTAAGTGACGCTCGCTCCACCTCATTGGTTGGACGATCCTTGGGGTCCACTGCCATGGGAATCCAGCTGTCACCGTTGGAGATGGGAACAGTGACTCAGTGGGACCTGGAAAATCCCTGGGTGAACAGTTTCTCTCTTGGTCAGGACTTGCCAGACTTGGGTTCACCAAAAACACTTGCACCACCTAAGTCTCGAACACCACCTAGTTATAAACTGGTGAGTCAACTTAACTTGGTATTTCCAGATGACTGCCATTTCACTTGTTTCACATTCTCAGAGAATCCAGCCACTGTCAGCACCCTGCAGTATGGAAATCACCTGGCCATGAAAAAATCACCCCTTCTATCAGTGGCTTCATCCGGTAGAAAGCACAAAAATGCCATTGTAAACTGCTGATTCATTCCAACCGCTTCCCTCTTCTTCACCCATATCACACATTACTTCAGGATACTTCAGGTATCACTGTATCACACATAGTTTTTTTCGCAACATCGGTGGCTTATCCAACCAGCTTTCAGCCACAACTTCCCCCCGAGCGGCCATAGAAGGTCTACCGCTCTGTTGGCTGGTCGCTCCTGGCATCCCACTGGGATTTGCAGCTTGATTCATCGATCTAAAATCAGGTGATGATGTGTTGGGTGAGTTTCTCCTGAAACCTTCAACCTGAGCCGAGCCAGCTTTAAACAATGAGTGTTGAACTATGACAACTTGACCCCTTGACCTATCTACCCAGTACCCATTGTAAAACGGCATCTCGTCGTTAGTCGGCCCAGCCATGCCCAGCCCAACCTGGTCGTTGAGGTTTGGCACTGGCCTATCCAAGCACATTGCATGCGGGGCGTTTTGGAGATTCCCTATGGATATGTATGGGCCGTTGTAATTTTGCAATTTTGCCCAGATGTGGTGAATGGGAATACATCACATGTCAGCACCAAGAATAGAGTGATCGTCAATTGAAACCACCGAACAAGATCAAACGATCAGTTGCTCATAAACTACTGGCTATACAAGTCATGTGTATGATGGTGCAGGCCAGCAACACCCAAAACCAAACAACATGCCTAACTCCATTGAGCGAATCTGTCCATTCCTGTCCCATTGTCCCATCACTTCCGTATTGCCTCTGCTCCAATGCGTGTGGCTGGCTTGCCCCCCTTCAGTGAAAGTTGGCTATGGAGCATGCTTTCAACTTTCAACGGAAGATAGTCATAGCCCAGATCATCACAGATCATTTATGTTTGAGGGTTGTTGAGGCAATGCGCACATTTACACATGTTTTACTGGCAAAATCCATCCTCAAAGTGTCTCAAATGATCCCAAATGCAGCCAAAAATCCAATCACACTGTACAATTCTATAATATTGTATAATATTATGTTATGCTATGGCCGGGTTTTTGGGCAATAATATGTTCATACGAAAGATTACAACAGTATAAGAATGTCAAACACATTCGATCCTCAACCTCAGACATCCCATGCGCTGTGGCATCTTGTTGTAGTCGATTGGGGCTCAATATTTCTCAATCATTTATAGCCAAATGGTGCTTTCCTGAAATATGGGTACCCCTAAATCATCCAGTTAAATATGATTTTCCATTATATAAACCATCTATTCTGGGGTACCCCCATTTATGGAAACCCCCAAATGTTGAGAAAACGCTCAGTTTGCAGAATATGCAACTGGTAATATCTCCGCAAATTCCAGGAAACCGTCACCATCAAGAGAATCTATCATTGGTCAGCCAGCAAGATCGCTATTTCACTGCCCAGTGGCATCTCTTGGTGGCATTGGCATCTCTGAGGATGCAACTGCAGTAGCTGCTATTTGCGAGGGCTGCGGAGCATTCGCGCCCTGCGCAGTGATTTGTGCTGGAGTTTCAACCGATCAAAATGTGGGTAATCTCAGGGATATCAACGCATTCCTTGCTCGTATATCACCAACAAAAATCTACGAATCGTCGTGGAGTGATCATAGATTGACGGGATATCCGGAGACATCCGGAGACATTACTTAGTCGTTGGATCCAGGATGAAGAGTTGAAACCACCAAGCAGTGAGGATCCAAAAAAAAACAAAGTTAACTCAAACCCCAGAAGGCAATTCACAATCGCGGAAACCGTTCCCCCAAAACAAACACAACTATACTAGTATATAGTAATATATAGTATATCTTAATCTTTATTTATATATGTTTATAATGTATCTCTTCATTTGGTGATGGATTCCTATGTTTTTTTCGGCTGCAATGGGCCGATCCATTCCCAGAAGACACCTCGGGTGGGGCCGATTTCGTCGCTGGCCGCAAACAGCCGCAGAGCTGCCGCAGTCTCATGGCATGGCCCAGCTGACTGGGCCCCGGCGCGCACGTCGTTGAAACGCTGATCGCGTTGTGGCCGTTGGAAGATGTTGGAAGTTGGGTGCGGCTTTCGGAGTCTGGGGTGCTTGAGGACTTGCTGATCTTGCCGCGTGTGATGACTGTGATGACATGGGATGGTCCACTGGACTGGACGGGTTGATTGGGAGGAGTCTTGCCTCCACATGGTCGTTGAAGAGAAGCTGGGGCAAAGATCAAGAATAACCAACAACATGACAAAAGAATTGGCTCTGAGCCAGAGCTTGCGATCAGCGGTTGCAGACCCATGCCTGGTGTTTCATGTCTTCTCAAAGTGGTACTGCACCGTGTCTTCCCGCATAGGGCAAAATTCCAAGCAGTGATTTGGAACTGAAACCAGCTAATACCCGTCTATTGCAGACTCTGCCTAGCTGTTTTGGAGATTTCTACCATCTCAGGGTGCTTTCCACCCAGGTGGCCTGATATTTCCGAAGTCTTCAAAAAAGTCGACCCCAAGACTCCAAAATCCGCAAACATCAGAATTTCGACCATCAAATCGGCAGAATGTCATAGAAATCTTCATCAAAACATGTTTGTCCAAACCGTCTTCGTCAAGATTTCCCACCTGCCACAGCAAACCAACTTATCCGCCGGCGAAGACCTAGATTTCGGAATCCCTGGGGGAACGGACTGGGGATTTGACCCACAGATGTTGTGGCCTTGAAACGATTACTCTACTAAAATACCAATAAACATCGAACACATATGAACAAATTATATCTATACATAATTCTACAATATTCTACATATAAATTAAGGATTCAATTGGATATCTATAACATCTGGGGATTTATGATGCTTTATGAAATTGATGGATATCAATGGGATTTGGATTAATGTGGTGAACTTAGTTAGTAATTACATGTACCATAAACCTCCACTTGGGGATGGCTGGGATGGTGTTTCCTGGTGAAATCACCCAATTTTCCTGGTGAAATCACCCAAGTTGGGTCCCGAACAACGATGGCGACACAAATGTAGCCGAGGTCATTGGGGGGGCAGAGGCTGCTGCCTGCAACGACCCCGAGATGGAGGATTTTTTGGATTCACGAAACGTCTTTGATGTTTCGAAACGTGTCAAAAAGTATCTTGTTTAAAGGTGAGTTTTCCGGATGGATCTATCTTTGGAGGCTATTTTGGATGATTTGTTGATGATGTTTTGATTGTGGATGGTGCATGGTTTCATGCTAAGCCTTTAAGCACCCTCTTTTCGAGTGCCTGTGGCATGTCCTCCTCGGTGTTCCAGGCTCTTTCCCACCTCTTTAAGTCCTTGGAGAAAGTCTTGGGAAAATGGGATGTCCCAGGGGTTCAAGATGTTTCAAGACACCAACTTTGGAAAACCAGCCATTTGGGAGCTTTATAACCTTGGTATCCTTTAGGATCTTTAGGGTTTTCGTCAATTTAATCACATCTGTTGAAGACTCCATTGAAGTTTGGCTGCAGCTATAAGTGCCCCAATCATCTACGCTGATGGTTCTTCGAGATAGCCATTTCTTGCGGAAGGACAAGTCACACACATGGCAACATACCGATGGGCTGGGCAAACATGTAACATGCAAATCTCTGTGTGTGTGTTTGAGTACTTCAAGAATGATTTCATATGATTTCATCATCGCATATTATATGATATTATAATATATTATATGTCTAAATGATACAAGTCTTGTGTCCTTAACTTATAGGTCCAAAATGCATCGACATGCAGATCTTGCTAAGAGGACTCTCCCATGGACCAGCAGCCGGTGCTCAAGCTGACTCTCAAACGGCCCTGAATCTCAACGAAATATAAAGAAATCTGATTTTAGATGAAACAGTCTTAAATCCATATAATTCATTATAATTCCATATAGTAAATCATATGATAAAAACATGAACTGGAGCTTCACTTTCATTGACGCGGTTTGAGCTTGCGAAGCCTCCATGGTTGTGGCCCTCATCTCAATGCTTTTCTCGCCCAGGGACACCTCATCAGCAGCAAAAAGGCTGCGTGTGATCATCCCCACTCATTCTCGGATCTTATTCATGTGGTAAAGCCAATAGCAAACAATCCCCAACATTATCATGATTTTGGGTGCTAGAAAGCATCCCCAGTCATGCTAGTGACTTAGTGGTTTATTGGGTTTCCCACATCATATCGTATAAAACGCCAGGTTTCAACAAAGAACCAACAAAGGTTAAGGGCTTTGCTCAGTACATGATCCAGACATGTCCAGACATGGTGGCTCGCAACCATTTTCCGTGTGGCTTTGTCTGGAAATAGGATATCACCAAGCCCACAGGGTCATGTTCATTGATTTTCCCTATCAAAGTGGCTGTTTGGGGTATACCCCAGTTTCAAACAGATGACCAATACTGGTCCCTCAAGAATCAGATTCGGCGCAACCAGCGATGTCCTCAGAGTCTGACTTTCATCGTTTTGTCTTCTACCTGGCGCCAAGTCAACATCAGCACGGGCAGTGGTTGCTTCATGTTGCTTCCATATTGGTTCACAGAAAAAAAAAAGAACTTAGAAGTTTGCCATCATTTACCATTTTCGGTGATTGTCCTAATTTGATGTCTTCCACATCTATGTTTCTTTGCACGCTGATTAAAAACCGGGACAGCCGGCATATCCCATGTACAACCAAGGCATCATTCCGGTCTACAGTGCTGTTTTCTGAGCTGTATGCTGACCCAAAATCGAGTACCACCCAAGTAATCCTTCTCATTGCAAATCATTCAGTGTTTCATCAAGTGTTTTATTTTTGGGAGACACAGATGATCACACTTGGGGGATTCAAAGTGTTCTTGGTTTGGACTCAACTGCAGTTGACATAGAGATCCCAGATGTTTAAGACATCCCTTACCGCACAATCAGAGGCACGCAAGTCAGTTCAGACCCTTCGAAGCATGTACCAACACCGGCCATTCATCCAATGGCTTGACTTTCCCTTGCTTTTCCACATCTATGTTGCTTTACTGGATGGGTATACCGTATTATACCGTATTTATTTACATATATTTACATAATATCTAATTATATCATATTATATCATATATCCCCCAGCAACACCAGACAGATCAGACAGTTTATAAGCGTCTCCAGCTACTTTTTTCCACCTGAAAGTCGGTGATGTCTTCCATCAGTGCATTGCAACGTGCTACAGCACCTGCCAGGCGCCATGGGTTATAGCTGTTGTGGTTATGGTCCCATAGTCATACCATAGGATATCATAAAGGCATATGGAGGCTTCCTAAAAACGGGGGTACCCCCCAAATCATCCAAGTCATTAGACTCATTAGACCATGAATTAGTATTGAGACATATTGAAACCATTTGAAACCCATGGTGACTTGGGGATATCCCATTTTGAGAAATCCCCATATAAATCCCGATTTCATGGAATCATGGCTGTCCCCCAATATGATGCCAATATGGGTATTTAATCCAACTTTTGACACGACACATGTGAGTCCGATGACAACACAGTCAAACACCCCAAGCGCAGGTGGCGGGTGTGAGTGACACATGCAAAACGTGCAGAAAAACCTAATTAATCCTCCTCCACATTCAAGCGTGACTTCCGTATCAGTTTCATTCTGGAAGCGTAGATGTTGTAGCGTTGTTGAGTTGAAGGTTCATGGATGCGTTCAAACGTCATTTCAGGTTGTAGATTTCTGGTGTAGATTGGAGTCTCAAGTGCCAAGCCTTTCATACTGTCCAAATACGATTTGACATATTCCATTGTAATTTTCGCGTTGGGAAGACCAGGGCGACGTGGAATGCCAGCAAGGACTCCCTTCATTCCCAGTCGGGTCAAAGTTCTGCACTTAAACAGCCCAAAGGCTGGAAAAAAACGACCCTGAATCAGCGTGGAAAGGTTTTGAACCATGTTTTTAAGGCAAATGCTTTGGAGCACTGCAGATTTTTGTCTCATCGGCATCAGCGCTGCATCGTCAGAGTCAAAACTAACGTAGATCGACTTGTTCCCAGCTCCACTAGCGCGAATAGGGAAACGGAATCCAGTATAGTGGTAGAAACTTACCACTAACTCAAACCATGAAATGCCCCAGTCACTAGGGTCCTCATCTTGAATGTTTTCAGGCCACGTCAATTGGTTAAGCCACAACATAGTCGCTTTGCCAATGTTTGCACCCTGTAAACATGCTGAAAAAAATTCATCCTCAAATTCAACTCTTTCCAGAGTTTTGTAATTTGGTGGGTTGAAGTTGCACATGAAAGCAAGTGCCTCGTCACCCATTGCTGCAGGATTGAATAATCCATGTGCCTGTGCTGACATAGTTTTCGGAAATTGCATGGCTGGCTTACCATGCTCTAACTCATACTTATGTAGAGCTTCACACCTCAGGCGGTTGATACAAGACAAAAACGTGAAAAATGACTTGAGTCTTTTTTCCTCCTCTTTGACATGGAGAGCAATCTCATCGGCCAATTTTCGAATGTCTTGTGGAACACATCTGAAAGCGGCAGTGGCTGCCATGTCTGCACAGAAGTTCCCAGCGATATTCCATAAGTCATGTGTGTCCTTTGCATCACAAAAATTCCGATGGCTCTTGACTTTGGTCACCTTGAAAAGGTCAAAATCCCACACTTCCGCAAGATCAGCAATGAGGTCACAATTTGGCAGTTTGTGAGCAAGGAATCTCCATAAACCACAACGGATGAGCCAGATAATGTTGCACACATAACTGGCATCTGTAACAAACTCCGTAGGTCTTCGGGGGTTGCAGTTTGCTGCAATGCGGGCGGCAGTGAGAATCGCAAGCAACTCTCCTCTTGAAACTGTCTGATCTCCATAAACAATGCCCAGTGCCGCCACTTTGAAGCAAGGAAATTTAGGCTCAGGACCAAGTAAAAAACCTGATGCATCATGTCTCTGTCTGTCCGAAATGGACACATCCTGAACAACAGACCATGAAGCGATCCTTGCAGGTGCACATGCCGGATTGATGGCTCCACCATCAGTAAAAAAACGCAATTCGGGAGTATCAGTTGCAAACGGCTGTGGAATGATAGGTGGTTTAACCATCTTAATATACGCTCGGAGCAACAAGCACATTTCATGTTGGCGCGGAAGTGGAAGGTAGATCCATTCAGGTCTACTGTCACGCAAAACAGTGCACACTTGTTGAAAGTCACGTCTGACCTCTGATCCAACAGAGCATTCCAGCATTCTGTGTTCACGCGTATCTGACATTCCACAAAACAAGCATTTGTCATCAATCTCTATCCCATTTCGCCTTTGTAG